TTCTTAATTCATAATCTAGTAAATTCATGTATTTAAAACAATTGATAATCCACTTTCATTCAATACTCTTTTTCAAGATATATTAAATCTATGTTTAACACGACTAGATCGTATTCATAATCCGAATTCATATGAAAAATAAGTATTGATTCACAGAATTTATCACACGTGATAGCATATGTCATAGATATTATTCCTAATACCGATTGTTAATGTGTTGATTTTATCGCGTTCTACATTTATTGTGAGTATTCCTACACTACAACAAGCAACTTACTATTTAATTAGTGATCAAGCAATCAAATAGTTCAATGGGAATGTTAAACCAATAAAAAAAATATTAAACTAATTGTTTTGAATTAAAATAAACAAACACTAGGATTCATCATTCATCCAATATAAAGGAAAAACTATCATATCATCCTATTAATTAAATTATACAATATAATATGGAAAAACATCACCTGAATCCAGAAAAGATGGAAGAAAGTAGAGAAATCAACTCTCATGTATTAAATGTTGATTTTGGTTAATAAGCTTCAAGAATCTTGAGTAATTCGCCTCTGTCTGATGATCAAGCATCATTCTTCGGCTCCAAAATATATAGAATGTAGAGATTTTTAGGTCTAGAGATCTCTCCCACGTTTTGGACGGCTTATGGTATATATAGAGTGCCGAAAAATTGCATACCAAAAATTTCTAAAACAAAATAAGGAAATACAATTTCTTCCCGAAATTTGAACCATTTGTACGCATGGTTCATTTGGTGGCACACACAATAGACTCCAAATAGCCTCGGTCAACCCAAATTAGGTTAGAGTGTACACATGGCCTGCAAGCCTATGTGTACACATGGTATTGACATTTTTTTATCAAATTGTATATTGGTCCCTGAACTTTTTCAAGTGTGTATTTTGATCATTTTCGACAATTTTTCATCATGTTGGCTTCTCTTCACCTCCAATTGTTTCTTGACATTCATGAATTATTGGCTTGCAGTCCGACACAACTATTGAATTATTGCATTTTAGTTCCCATAGTTTTGATTTTGCCATTTTTCTCTATTTTTTGCTTGTTTTCTCCAATTTTTCATCAAAACATGAGTTTTACCTATTAGACACAATATAGCACAAATTTAGCTATTCATCAAAAGAATTACAAAATGTCATTATTTAAAGCTCCGAATAAGTATAAAATGCACTTATCAAACCCCAAAACTTGAACATTTGTTTGTCTTCAAATAAAATCATAATCTAACTTAAAATAAACACACAAGCTTGCAAAAATATTTAGCTAGATAACCTGACATTTTATCTCAAAATTAAAATCGTGATATTAAATCGATGCACAGTTTCAAAATCACAATACAGAAATCAAAGTCTACTTTTCTAATGCAAAGTCGACATGTGTATGCAAAGAATTAAGTATAGTATCATGAATTCATAAGTTGTTCCATTCCCGACCCTTAATAATCAAATATGTTCTTATCCCCACTCGTGAGACACACATCTCAAAAGTTGTCATTTTCACTCATTTCAAGTGCGCGAACTAATGTCATTTTCCTGTAAACCGATTGATCAATTCGATTCGATTTTTGTAACATTGAAGAAGACAATTAGCTCTCTCTTTTTTTTATGTAAAGTAGAAGGTAATTCATCTTTTTTATGTTAACTTGAAGATTAATGATATTTATCATTTGCTGTGACAATCACAAGTTTAGTTGACATTTAACCTAATAAATTGTACAACGCGTTAAAATGAATCACAACCCCAGTGAACAATAAATCAACAAGCTCATAGCCACTTAACAATCACAACTAATTATTTATAGCAATATTCTTTATAGGAGAACCATGCAAGTTTGATAGAACCATTTAAAATACACCAAAATAAGAGATATACCTTCACAATTATTTTTTTAGTGTTTTATTTATAAAATAACAATAATTCTACTTGTACATCAACATCCATACATAAGGGTGTACATCCTCCTCACATGGGAGTGGACCCCACTATGTCACATATTTTTTTATTTTAGCGGGACCCATCCCATGTGAGGGGGATGTACACCCCGATGCACCCAT